GGGGCGGCCGTGGCACGGGGGTCCGCAGAGCTGCGGGAACAGAGCGGCTGCTTCAGCAGCTCCTGCTCAGAGCTGCTGCAAACAAACACACGCGTTTGCGCGTTTCTGCCGTTGTTTGCACAAGATCATCCTTTCATGTGCATAAAGCTCATCTTGCACACATGCGGAATGAGGTTGTCCCACAGCCTGTCATGGCTAAGAAGACACACAGGTCCCTCTGAATAGCCACTTTTGTAACCAGCAGCAGCCTATGCTGAGCACAGGAGGCCAAACCCAGACCTAAACGGATCCTGAAAATGGCATCTAAGAGCTCGCAGCTGCCTTGCAGTGCAAGGCACAGCAGAAATTTTTCCCCTCTGTCTCAGCCCCCGAGGTCTTTCAGCTGGTCTCGGTGGCAGAGTCTGAAGTCTGAGGACTTCACGCGCGAGGTGATGTATGTTAATGAAACCCTTTCTCCCCTTTCTGTCTCCTCAGCACTCCTGGTTACTTGTTTGGAAAGCGCATCATTTTGTTCCTGTTCCTCATGTCCGTGGCTGGAATACTCAACTACTATCTCGTCTTCTTTTTCGGAAGTGACTTTGAAATGCACATAAAAACGATAACCAGCGCGATCTCTCCGTTGCTGCTCATCCCCTAGCTCCCCACCGCACGCAGGGGGTCAGCCTGCTTCACGTAGCGCTACCCAGGAGCAGCCATAATTCAACTGTTTAAGGAATGAACCCGTAACCCTTTTAGACTGCTGTAAATCTCATGCTTGATGGGCTTTGTCGTTTGATTTAACCTTGCTTTTTCCTTCAGGAAAAAGATTTATTGTGAGCACTCGGCATGCCCAGGGAATGGTAACAACTTTCAGTTAATTCTGTAGCGTTTTTTCCCTAAACTGCAGCTTGCAAGCTGATTGTGGACTGGAAGAGACATTGTAAGCTTGCTTCACAACTGCGTTGGCCTTAGCTTTTGTCCCAAAACCCAGAGGCCTCTCAGCATCAGCCCTGACCGATGGCTCCCGCGGTTATCCTCATGCAGAGGCACGGCCCTTCGCCCGCGTCCCAAGGCACGGGCCAGCCCCTGCACCCACCCTTTCCCTCCCACTGGTTGATGGCCCAGCTCCCGCTGCTGCTGCAGGAGGGTGGCAAATTGCCCCCTGTCTGCTCTTCCTTGATAAATATTCATGTGCGTAACGCTCCCGACACTGATCTCATTTGCGCTCCAGCCTTTTTGTTCTCCCAGAGCTGTGGAAAGGGGTCTTGCGTAAATGAGGAGCTGGTGTATTGACGGTGGGGCTCGTTTTGTGTTGCTTGGCTTTGTTTAATAAAGCAGTCTAAAAGGATGAAATCTGTTTGCTCCCATCTTCTTGGCCTGGTGCGTGATCCCAGCGTTCCACGGCTCGGCAGCTGGCCGGTGAGCGGGGCAAGGGGAGCAGCACCGGGCTCTTTGTGCGAGCTGCTAATCGCCCTGGGCACAGCGTCGCAAGGACTCGAGTTCAACAGCTCCCTCTCTATTAGCAAGTTAAATTTCCTGCCTCCGTCACTAACAATGTGGCCCTGCAAGCCCGTAGCGAGGAGCGGTTTGATTAGAGAAGCAGACCGCGGCGGGCAAAGAGGCTGGCGCAAGCTTTTTCAGCATCGCTGCCCTACGAGCGCTTAGGCTCTGAAGCCAGGCTGATTACCGCAGGCAGGATGCATAAAGCCGTGTTTTATGACTCCTTAGGGAAGGACAGAGACTCCTCGCTGCGTGAGCAGAGGGTTTGCAGAGCTGATCGCAAGAGGAGGCGCAGAGGGCTGCCTGCCTTTGTACCACACCAAGGCTGGCTGGAGGTGTTGCTGCCCGGCGCGGCAGAGGCTGCTCTGCTCTGCACCTGACCATTCGCTCTGCCGAAATCACACAGCTTTGTTTCTTCACAGGAGTTTTAGACATGAAAGATTAGTAAAAAACATATTTATTGGTATGAAAGGAAGGCAACGTCAGTGCTATCTGGGCTTTCCCCAGTGTCAGACAACTCCAGTTTTTGGTTTTGGGCGTAAAACCACCCTGTTCTGGGCGGTACGGTTGCAAGCACTTTGCATACCAGCTAGTCAGAGAGCTGCAAATGCAGGCTCATTGCAGGGGGTTTGGACTAGATGACCTTTAAAGGTCCCTTCCAACCCGAATCATTCTATGATTTCATGATTCTATACATCCACATGCGAAAACACGTACGCTGCTGTGAAAGATGTACAGGCGCATAATACTGAGGTCATGTACACATGAACCTTACTAGGACCTACTGAGCTGCACTGGACATGGGGACATGGCTGGTGACAGAAGTGGCAGTCCCCTCTGACTGCTCCCGTTCGAGCTTGGCTTGCAAGCTCCTGGGGCCAGCACCCATGTTTGGTGCAGTGTCTGGCACAGCAGCTCCTGGCCTGGAGCCGGGACGGTATGCGAGCATCTATCGTTTCCCCATCCTGCTGGTTGCTCTGATGCTGCCAATCATCGCCTTGGCCGTGCTGCCAGGCTGTGGGCTTTGTTCCACCAGCGGTGCCCTGGCTCCTCACAGTGGCGTGCCACCACCATGCCACGTGGCTCTTCGTGCATCGAAATCCCAGGTACACGAATAAATGTAGTGTCTGTGTCTGTATACACATAGACACAGTGTGTTTACTTACTGTATCTGTGTATATATATAGAGATATATCTATACAGTAGGTGCTGAGTCATGTAAATGCTGGAGGCTTTTCAGGGAAGGCAGGGAAGCAGGTTGCTCAGGCACCAATCCTCTCGCAGCTTGCAGGCTGAGTACATCACAGACTGCGGAGACTGCTGGAAGTCGGGCTCTCGCAGGATTCTTTTGACCTGCTGACAAAGGCCTGGAGTACATACAGTATTCCGGCTGCAGTGACCGCGTCTGCTTCCGTACAGCACTACAACCCTCTAGTGGAAACTCAGCCCTATTGGCACGCCGGTGCTGCTGGCCATGGAACGAGCTCTTCCTTTGAGGTTTGAAGTCTGACCGTGATGCAACTGCATCCACATTTCTGAACAGATGCGTTGTGGCTATTGAATGCTGTTTTTTATTATTTTTCTGGCATGTAGGAGCCCCGGTCCTGAAGCAGGACCCTTCGCCTGCCCATCACAAAACGAGCAGTCCTGCTTAGCACAGGGTCCGAGCAAGCAGATAGCATCCAAGTGGGATAAGAAATCTGTGCGCACCACCCACAAGGCTGTCCTGCAGTATTTCCCAGATTCCCGGTTTCCCAGAACTTGCAAAGCCAGCCTGTGGCAGTATCAGCTCAGTCTGAGCCACCTCTACACCAAGTCAAACTTCCAAGTGAGTCTCTGAGGAGCAGGAAAGGAATTCTGCTGGCATGGAGTAAAGGCTGGCCCTGGGCAGCTTCTTCAGCTCTCACCTGCTCTGGGATTACTTTCTTCTAGCAGAGCAGCTGGTTTAACATTCATGGAAATCCAGCGGGTTGGGCTGGGGTGCTGCAAAGCAATGAGCACTGGCCAAAGTCTGTGGTGTGCCTTTTGCAGACTTCAATAGGAGCAGGATTAGTCCATGCGGGAAATGCTTGGAAACAGTCCATCCTTGAGAAGTGAAAGGGCAGTACGGGATGAGAATAGTGGTAAAACCATTCACTGGGTGAGTTTAAATTTGTCTCATGTCCCAGCCGGAGTACCCAGGGTGATAGTTCCCATGGAAAATCCCCTCCGTGAGCTGCAGAGCCCATTGGAGCCCACCAGAGCCCTTGCAGAGGACATGTTGACACCCAGGACGGGGAAGGACCTTGGAGGCCTTGACGTCTCTTCAGACCACCTGAGGGACATGCACAAGCTTCCCTGTCCCTTTGGGTAATGAAGACTGCTGTCCCCGGGGCCGTCAGGGAGGGTGCGGGACATCTCGGCTGTGGCCCCTCTCAAGGCGGGTTGGTGCCCCGAGGGGTTAGGATGGAGGAGCAGCCTCTGCACCACTCTCTGGCTGCAGCGGAGAAAGAGCTGCTTTTATCAGCGCTGTTGTGATCGCCAGGAAAACACGTCTCCTGGAGAGGAACAGCTCATGCTGGTGCCCGGCTACTGCCCCTTGGTCCATCTGCCCCAGGGGAGGGAGGCTGTGGGCAGGAGGGCATCAGCACTGCTCCATCAATCCATCCTGCCTGCCAGCGCATCGCCTTGCTCCCAGCGTGCGCACAGAGGCACGAATGCTGGCAAAAGTGAGACTCCTGCCCCAAAGGACAAACAGCCTCCACAGCGAGCTGGTTTTCCCCTTTAGAGGAGAAATAAATAACTTTCCAATTTCAACTGCGAGGATCTTCACACTGCGAGATGATTTCATCAGACAGACGAGCTCCCGGGGCTTTGTGCTGGCTGCCTACTGAGCTGCTCGGATGCCGTCCGCTGGGTGCTTCCCACTCATCCCCGGGGGAAGGGGACCAGACACCAAAGGGCCAGCTGTGATGTGGGGTGTGGAGAGCGACTATGGTGGGTTTTCACCTAAAAAAATAAAGGCATGATGGCATCACGGTGGAGTTAAACTCACAGCTACAGCCAAGGACTAAGCAGAGAAGCACGATGTCTCCTGTCCAGCTGCTTCACGCTTCTCGTTTGTGCTGCAGGAAGGGAATTTCTTTTCAAAAGGTGGCGCCAGCCTGCCCACCACCCTCGGTACATGGGAGGGGATGGGACACGTCCCCACCAACAGCCGTGGGGCTGCAGTTCTGCTGGCTGCCGTTATCCCTGTGCTCTCCCACCTCTGTGGGGACCATTGCACTTGCTGGTGGACAGATTTACTTCCTTCTCCCAGACTAGATAGCTTTAGCCATAATCCAAAGCAGGCTGTCATTTATCAATGTTAAGTTACAGCTCAGTCCTGAGCCATGTTTAACAATACCATGGTTTCTTGGAGCGCATCTCACTCCATGTACCTTCAGCAGAGGCAGTGGTGAAAAGCAGAAAATAATAGTTTTCATGGCATAACCCCACTGCTCAGCCCAGCTCTGACCTCATTCCCCAAGTCCCCAGAGAGGTGGTGGAGGCTCCATCCCTAGAAACACTCAAGGCCAGGTTAGAAGGGGCTCTGAGCAACCTGGTCTAGTTGAAGATGTCCCTGCTCACTGCAGGGGCGTTGGGCTAGAGGACCTCTAATGGTCCCTTCCAACACGAAGTATTCTATGATTCTATGATCCCACATGCCCCCTCTCCCTGCTCCCATCAGGCTTCCTTAGCATCCCCTTCAGTGTCAGTGCCACTTGTTCATCCCACTCCATGTTTGTTGTCCGCTCCACATCCCTCCATCAGGTCAATACACCTGTTGGAGAAGACCCCTGGTAAGCCAGTGCAAGAAGCTCATCTGTCTGAAAACGATCTTTTGTTTTCCCCTTTATTGCCTTGTTTTTAACTCAGCTCAGCTCCCTGATCCCCAGCTATGTGAATGAGGACCCCAGCAGAAATAGTTGTGGAGATCATTGGGTTTCACCTCCAACCGACATAAATGCCAGGTTGATATTTTATTCTTGAGGCACGCTTACGTGGGTGAGATTTCCTTCCCCTAATTCACACTGAGTTATCACAGAGTCACCCAGGGGCCAAACTCCCCCTTCTCTCAGCTCATACTATCCGCAAGATTGACAGGGCATCCCGTGCATCATCCCGTGCATTGCGGAAAATATGGCTGTACCTGGGTTCTGCCAAGCTTGCAACCTCTGCTGCCGATCTCTGACGGCACAGGCCTTACCCACGGCTTTGTTAGCCACACAGCTCACAAATGGAAAACAGCAGCAGGAAACTCTGTCCAGGCATGTCATGGGGACCAAAAACCCTGCCAGTCGTTGCTCATCCCACCCACCCTTGGTTTAATGACTCCTGGACTGCTGTATTTCGGAGAAGTACTTTCATGTCTCAGACTGGGGATTAAGTCTGTGATTATTTAATTTTTTTTTGACTGTAGTAGGAGGAGGTAACCCT